GATGTCTCGGTCCTGAGCGTGGGGCCGTCGCGAGGTGGCAGGTTACCATGGGCCCCTCGTCCTGACGGGCTCAGGGGGCCCTGCCAGGGGAGCTGGGCTGATGCTCGGCTCTGTCCTGCCCCCTTCGTGGCCCCGCGCTGATGCCGAGCGGGGTCAGCGCTGTGCCCGGCAGCCCCCTGCCCGCCAAGGAGCGGGGTAGAAGGGCTCAGCCTGCTGCAGCCACTTGCTTTTGTCCTTGCTGTCTTTGTGTCCATCTCCACGCTGCTCCCCGTGTTTCCCACGGGGCAGGAGGGACCCCGTGGGTTCTGCCCGCCCCATCTGCTTCCCTCCCTGCAGGGGCAGCGGGCTGGGGCTGGTCCCAAGGGACTGGTTTGGTGGCAATAGGGACTGCTTGGGAAGTGGCTGTGGGGGCATCCAGCCCCTTCACGCACAGAGCTCTCCCACCGCCCAGCTCAGAGCTGTGGGACATGCGTGTGCCCCAGGCCAGCGAGGTGGCACATCCCCTGTGTCATCGCTCAGCACGTCCCCATTGTGCGTTTCAGCGTTACCAGCACAGTCTGTGCCCTGGGGCACTCAGCAGGCCACATGTGAGTACGCCTGGGGACCCCGGGCAGCTCCTGCCACCAGCGGCTTTGCTTTCCCAAGCCTTGACCCTGGTTTTCTTCCCCACTGGTGGCGGCCCAGGATCCTGCTCTGGTGTGGGGGGCTGCGATCATCCCCAGCCCTGCAGCTGCTCCTGCAGCCCCGCTTTGGGGCTGGCCGTGCAATGTCCCTGCTGGGGGTCTGTTGTGCAACAGGCCTGGCTGTCTGTGGTCCCCTGTCCTTGCCCTGTCTTGTCACCCTGTCCTGTCGCTACGGCAAAGTCCCCTTGGATCTCCACCCCTCCCACTTACTCCCTGCAGTCCAGTGTCCCTGCGCCTGGTGTGCTGGCCCCATGGAGAGCGTGGCGGGGGGGGGAACGTGCTGGCTCCCTGAGGTGGGGCCAGATGCCCCCCACCCCGTGGGTCTGGCCATGGTTGGACCCTTGCTGGAGCGTTACCCCTCTCCTGGCCTTGGTCTGGGGTGGTCCCCACTGCGCTCAGATATTGAGGGTTTGCTCTCTCCTGGGAGAGGTGATAGTTTTGGGGATCAAATGGGCTGGTCACAGGGCAGAGGGGAAGCTTGCCCTGTCTAATGGTGATGCTGTTGCCTCCTGCCCCAGGGAAGTGTTTCCTCTACTGCAACGGGCTCATGGACCATCTGTACGTCTGCCAGAACGGCAACAGCTGCACTGCCTGGTACAAGGCCCCCACCCGCTTCACCGGCACGCTGGTAGGGGCTGCAGGTGCAGGCAGGGTGGGCAGGGGTCTCCCTGTCCCAGGGAGGGGGTCAGGTTGGTTTCTGTGGAGGGGGACGGGGGTGGTGTGTGTGCTTGCCCCTCAAACCCCTCTCCCTGTGCTCCGCTCTCTCCTCAGGATGCCTTCATGAAGATCACACGCTACGAGGGTGTCAGGTCTCTGTGGAGCGGCTTGTCCCCGACCCTGTGAGTTTGGATCCTGCCTGGGGGGGAGTCTGGGTGCAAACGTCTGCCCAGGCGCATGGGTATCTGCTCTGAGCCTCCTGCCAGCCCCCAGGGAGGGCACGCATGCCCCGCGTGCCCCTCACACCCCTCCTTCTTGGCAGGGTCATGGCTGTGCCAGCCACCGTCATTTATTTCACCACCTATGACCAGCTCCGGGACTACCTGCACGCTCGGATGGGAAGCCGGGGGCACCACATCCCCTTGCTGGCTGGGGCCCTTGCCAGGCGTGAGTATCCCTGCTCTCTGGGTGTTCCCCCGTGCCCACCCTTCATCCTCACAGGAGGGCGCAGCGGGTCTCTTGGCTGTTGGTGCCCACGTTTGGCACCTGGCACTCCTGGCATGGCGCTCTGATGGCTCCGGGATGGAGTGGATGGGGCTGATGCCTGATGTCCCCTCCGTTGCAGTGGGCGTTGTGACGGTCATCAGCCCCTTGGAGCTCATCCGCACCAAGATGCAGTCCCAGCAGCTCAGCTACCGGGAGCTGGGTGCCTGCATCCAGTCGGCGGTGGCTCAGGACGGCTGGCTGTCCCTCTGGAGGGGCTGGGGACCCACCGTGCTGCGAGACGTCCCCTTCTCGGGTATGGCTGCGGGGGGACAGGGCGAGCGGTGGCACTGGGAGATGGGGGAACATGGGGCAGGGCAGCCCTGCATGTGGGGAGGGGGGAGGTTGGCGTGTCCGGGGTGCCTTGTTGCAGCGCTGGTGTTTCTCATCTCCTCCCAGCTCTCTACTGGTTTAACTATGAGCTGGTGAGGGAATGGCTCTGCAGGCAGGCCCGGCTCGATGAGGCCACG